GCTGGTGAGTGAGTTCTTTGTTAAGCACCCTAACCAGACAGCCCCTTAGTAAAGCACTGACATAGGCAGAGGTGTGTGGGGTACCCCCGAGACAGCATCTGTTCTACTCTCCTTGCAGGAGAGGACTACACAGGTCAGTGTCCCCTCTAGCCCGTCTGACTAGTTAGGCTCTGTGACCGCGGTGTCTCCTGCCAGCCCCGGGCAGCTGGGCGCTGACAAGACAGCAGGCAGCCTCTCACGTCCCTGAGTGCGGTCACGGTCACGGGCAGCGGGCCTGTGCCCAGTCCACACAGCTCCGGCGGTCTGCAGGTTGTACGCGCCTTCTCAGCCCTGATGCTTTTCCGGGTCTGCCGGTCGGTCTGTGCAGGTGCACTCTGCGATGATCGCCCAACAGTGAGATTGCCCAGCGCCCCATCAGCCTGTCCCTGCCACCCAGCAGCGCCCGTGTCTGTTCCCCGCCATCACGCGTCTGTGGCATTCAGACTGGCACCCTGGAATGTGGTCGAGTGGGTTCTAGAGTCATCTAGGGTACTAGGTCTATGTTAGCGTCACTAGTTAGATTTGACTGGGATTTTCTTTGTACGTGGAATTTAAAGAGATACTGCTCGATTTGAAAATGCAGCAGGGAGGAAAAGGAGCAGCCGTTTTAAGCCTCTTGACCGCAAGATAACAGGGCCTTATAAAAGTGGGCAGTTTCGGTTTCCGAACGGTGAGGGAAGTAGTGCCCATAGGTCAGATGAGGTTAGGCAAGGCGAAAGTTGGTCAAGATCAGATCAGAAGTACGTTGAAATTTATTATTTTATTTCTTTATTCCTTTAGAGGTTTTTGCTATAGGGTGCACGTGCTTGCCAGAGAAACAGACAGTGAAAGGGAAAGTGAGAAATCACCCCTCGGGGGACGCACCGCAATCCCTTCTCTTCACTCCCTCCTGGGGTCTTGGGCCAGCACACACTCGCTCCGGCCTGACTGAAGCCATCAGGTCGGAATGCGTGCCACGGTGGGCCACGTGGGAGTCCAGCAACGTCGCCGTTACGCCATCTGCTGCCACAGGACATTGAAACTTCTTAGCCCCCAAGTAGAATTCGAGAAAGATGTTGCTCCCTCGACTTCGCAACGGGCAGGCTCCAGGAGGAAGGGTAGGGTAGCCGGGAAGCATGTTTATAGACTGCCAGACAGGGCAGCAGGCGCTCACCCGTCAGACCGGTCTGACAGATTGAGGGGTGAAGGGAGAACGGAGGGAAGTATGAGTAGTAGCCGTAAAGAACTCTGTATTTAGGGGTGGCTGCAATAAGAAGAAATCACTTTATTTCTATTTTTGAGGATGGCGGAAGGAGGCGTAATTCTCCCTTTTTAATTAATGGTAAGAGAGATAAGTCTGCTTCATTCAGAGACCGTACACTGTGTCTGGGCCGCACCATAGAGGGTGGGGACAGGAGAGTCACTGCTGACACAGGCTGTACCTCAGTGTCCCCAACTCTGTGGCTGTGAGAAACTCCAGGAGACCTGAGAAACAACTTTGAATCCCAGGTGTTCTTGGTTAGACCAGAAGGAGGCAAAACAGATTCTGGACGGATGGAGCTGCCTGAATTTTTAAGAGGACTGTCATGGGAGAACAGATTTTATAACCCCAAAATGTTCCTTTTGGGGATCAGCAGGTACTGGTGTAGTTAAGCCACTGGACGTCCACACGACCAACTGCGCGACTGGAAAATCACACCTGGCACATGTATGTGTACGCCCAAAATTCCAAAAGGAGAAGGGATTGAGGCACGGCCATCCCCCGGGGGTAATTTCTCACTTTCCCCCTCTCTCTGTGTCTCTTTCTCTCTGGCAAGAGCATACACCCTATAGCAAATCTGGGACCAACAGATTTCATAATGGTTATGTTGTTGGACTCCCACATAGTCGACTATGGTTCAAGTCCTGGACCCGGTGGCTTAAAACTCACACTGGGTGCCTGTGCGTGTGTGCCCAAGATCCAAAGAGGAGAATGGAGGAGAAGGGATTGCAGTGTGGCCATCCCCCCGGGGGGAGATTTTTTGCTTTCTGTTTCTCTGGCAAGTGCACACACACCCTATAGCAAAAATCTCTCTTTAAAAAAAAAAAAAAAAAGTTAACCTTTTATAGAAGAATTTTTTCTGTGTGTCATACGTACCCTTAGAGGTTTTAAACATTTATTTCGCCCTGGTTCTTTGATAATATACTGAAAGTCTTTAATACTTCAGAGATTGTTTTATATTGAAAATTTACAGGTGCTTTTTTGTCTTTTCGAGTTCTCCTGAGAAAATACCACTTTAGATTGTACTTTCACAGTACAAGAAAGGGATTTCAAAAAGCTTCTGGAAAAAATGGAATTAAAGTACAAGTCAGTGCAGGAAATTCTGAAATCCACCCGTAGTCTTTTCACAGTACACACTTTCCGTGAACTTCCTGAAGACCGCCTCATACATGTGGTTGATTATGTCTTAGAACACAGTGGATTTCTCTCAGGCCAGCTCCAGCTCGGTTAGGCAGCCCCATCTGCAGTAGGTAGCATTTGCTGGTAGCTCAAGTAAGAGGGCTTGTTCTGTATTGTCTTCCATAGGTGGCGTCAGAATGACGGTCTCTGGGGACAGTCGGTGTCTGCCCTCTAGGCCGTCTGTCCTGTGCGCACAGTGGGCAGCTCAACGTCCCTAACCCATGGGTGCCCCCGGGCCCTAGGAGGCCTAATTTTTAGACCTACTACGTCCAGCCTGGCTTCCATGAGCCTCATCGGGCTTCCGAGCGCCGGGAAGGTGGCCGGTTCAAGTGCAGGTGTGCTGTCATTCCAAACATACCATTTTCACACTTAGTATAAAAAGGTTAAACATGTTTTTAATAGTCATTTCATCCTGAAAGGCAATATTTTATATACATTGAGTTAAATAGAAAATAATACTCAAACTAACTTCATCTTTTTCTTTTTACCCTTTAATGGAGGTACTAGAAAGTTTTAGATTATGGAAATACTGTCTTCCTTTTTTTACGTTTGTGTATTTATTCCCAACATGAGAGACCGAAAGGAAGGAGGGAGACCCCCAGAGGGTCTCACAGTGCCACAGTCACCCTCCTCGCTGCCCTCCAGCCAGCCAGGACCATGTGTTCATGCTGGCTGAGACCTGAGCCACCGGCCTTCCGGGTGGCTCCAGCACCTGTGCCACTGCACGGGGCTCACACGTCTGACATTTCCCTTGGACCACACTCAGCTCACACATTGAACCATGCCAGGGAGCATGTTCTGCCTTCCCCCCCAATCATTTAACTTTTTTAAAAGATATTTGCTATAGGGTGTGTGCACTCACTGGAGAGACAGAGGGACAGAAAGAGAGAAATCACCCCTAGAGGGGACGGCCACGCTGCAATCCCTTCTCCATTTTCCTCTCAGGATTTTGGGCACACACGCACACTTGTCCAGTGTGAGCTTTAAGCCACTGGATCCAGAACTCAAACTGTCGACGACGTGAAAGTCCAGCAACAAAACCATTATGCAATCCACTGGTTCCATAATCTGTTACTAGTTTTAATTTGCTATAGGGCACGTGCACTTGTGAGAGAGTGAGAGAGAGCTGCCAGGTCTGGGACTGGAAGGCACTCAGGCCGCATGGGAGTCCAGTTCCTTAACCACACCGCCGCCGACCCAGGTCTCAGCATGCAGTCGTGATGTAGTGAATGTCCGCTCAGTAGTTGTGTGCAAATGTTTGCTCTTCTTTTTTTTTCTGGGGGCGTGGTGGGGGAGTTTGCTATAGGGCACATGCACTCACCAGGCAGACAGAGAGACAGAAAGTGAGAAATCACCCCCCAAGGGGGATGGCCACGCCACAATCCCTTGTCCTCCATTCTCCCCTCTTGGGATCTTGGGCACGCATGCACATGTGCCTGGTGTGAGTTTAAGCCACTGGGTCTGGGACGCGAACCACGGTCGACTACATGAGAGGCCAGCAACATAGCCATTACGCTAACTGCTGGTCCCACTCTTCTTTTTCAAAGTATAAGAAATTCAGACGCTTTGATTTTTTTTTTTAAGCCTTTCAAATAGTAATTTCTTCAATCTTAATCTCTCATGCTGACTTCTGAGATTTGTAGTGTCAATATATGGGTAAGAAAATGTTTACCACAATGGGCCTTTTGAGAGATAATTTTCACTGTGGAATAGTTACTTAATATTTTTAATACTAAGACGTCACCCAGACCTATACTTTTAGTCAGTTTCACACTATTCCTATGTATATTGTTGCTGATAATCTAAGAAAAGGGTGTGACATTCAGTTTTCTTGTTTTTGTTGTTTTGATTTTTCTGTGGCGACTACGAAGGAGATTTCTGAATAAAAAAGAACTTTCTAGAAGCTTTTCTTTTTTGCTTATGTTTCTTCCCCTGGGGCAGTTGTATTCCATAATTAAAGCTTCTGTGATTGTTTCTTTTGGGTTTTGGGGGTTTGTTTGTTTGTTTTTTGAATAGGAAACTGGTGATGGAAAACTGTCCTGTGTCTTGCATGGCAACCCTAATGCTCTTGTCTCCTGTTCTAAAATATTCGTGGTTAATTTAGATACAAATGCTAAACTTTTTTTTTTTTTTGAGAGATTTTCACTGTAGGGCGCATGCGCTCGCCAGACAGACAGAGAGAGACATAGAGACAGAAAGCGAGAAATCACCCCCCAGAGGGGATGGTCACACCGCAATCCCTTCTCCTCCATTCTCCTCTTGGGATCTTGGGCACGCACGCACACGCGCCCAGCGTGAGTTTTAAGCCACCGGGTCCGGGACACAAACTGCGGTCGACTACGTGGGAGTCCAGCGACATAGCCATTACGCTAACTGCTGGTTCCCACAAATGCTAAACTATTTAGGTCAATAAAATGGGACAAACTGAGTGGTTCCTGGGCCGTAGGTTAAGTGGTCCATGGATTCCAGAGTCTGGCTAGTAAAGCCATCGCTCCTCCAGAGCCTCTGCAGAAGGTCATGTTCTGATCTGATTCACTTTCAGGCACTACAGACACCGCCTCCAATAGCACTGCAACCGTGATTTCCACAGCGCCTCCCGCCTCCTCAGCAGTCACGTCCCCCTCGCTGAGCCCCTCTCCTTCTGCCTCAGCCTCCACCTCCGAGGCATCCAGTGCCAGTGAGACCAGCACAACACAAACCACCTCCGCTCCTGTGTCCTCCCCCCTTGGGACCAGCCAGGTGATGGTGACAGCATCAGGCTTGCAGACAGCAGCGGCTGCCGCCCTCCAAGGAGCTGCACAGTTGCCAGCAAACGCCAGTCTTGCCGCCATGGCGGCGGCTGCGGGACTCAACCCAGGCCTGATGGCACCCTCACAGTTTGCGGCTGGGTAAGGAACTTCATCTCCATCCTGTCTGAGGAACAGCGGCTGGCATGGCTCCTGGGGAGACTTCACGTGAAATGAAAAGCAAGCCCTCTTTAAAGCAGTAGTCTGTGAGTCAGGCTGCTCGGGGCCATGCAGACCTCGATTATGGTTGAGCTTAAGTTTCTTAGCGCCCTGACAAGGCCCGTAGTTAGCCCCGCACTTCCCGATGAGGACACGGTGACCATGGTGACCAGGAGTTTTGTCTCAGTGACGGCGAGGGAAAGCGCAGACTTCCTGACAGACTCCCCAAGGGCCTGCTTTCTAGTTCTCACACACAGCAGGTGTAATAGGGCGTGGAAGATGAGGTTCCCAACTGCTGTGGCTGTCGGATGTAGTAAGAATTCCTTGTAAGGTAATTCTCTTCTCTGGAGTTTTTGGTTTTTGTGTTTTTACTTTGGAAAGAAAGAGAATGACATAATTCAGAGAAGACTCCCCATGGCCGTGGAGCTGTGTGTTCTGTGCAGATCGTAGACTTGTTTGTGAGGTCGCGCCAAGGAAGGCCGTATCGGGGGCGCTCGCCGGGCCGTGTGCGAGTACGGGGATGGACACGCGTGCACTTCCCCAGCGGGACTTGCCTTATTCCTGTCCTCTGGGCGTGTTGTCAGACACACGTGTGTGTTGCCTAGTAACAGAGTGACCCTCTTTTGGTCTTGCAGAGGTGCCTTACTCAGCCTCAATCCAGGGACCCTGGGCGGTGCTCTCAGCCCAGCTCTGATGAGCAACAGCACACTGGCAACTATTCAAGGTCAGTAGCCCCTTCTTCTGACTCGCTCTTGTGCCTGAGCATGTGTGCGTGTGTGCGTGTGCGCATGTGGTTGGTGGGTGCAGCCTGCTCTACCAGAGGTGAAGGCGATGGGGAGAGGCGAGTGCCGGCTGACTTGTTCTCGGGGACCACAGAAAATGTCCTTGTGAAAAAGCTTTGTAAGAGAAGTACAGGTGTAGGGTCAGCAGATGGTGCAGCAGTGACGTAGCTGGACTCCCACATGACCCCAGCGGTTTGAGTCCTAGACCCAGTTGCCTGAAAGTCACGCCAGGCCCATGTTCATGGAAGAGAATGGAGAAGGGATTATGGTGTGGCCAGCTCCCTGGGGGGCGATTTCTCACTTTACTCCTTACTGTCTCTCTCCACTCCCACCCCTACCCTGCCCTCCCAGCACATGCGCCCTAAAGCAAAAACCTCTAAAAAAAAATGAAATTAAGAAGGATAGGTGTTAGTCTGAGGAAGAACAGGAAACGCAGGTAGTTTGAGATGCTGTAAGAGAGCAAGGCTGTCATGCTGGTATCTGTCTTCTCGTATGAGTAGACTTGAGGAAGGGGTCTGTCCTCGTAAGTTCATTCAAGTTCTCAACTAAGACCCGTGTCAAGACACATTGGACCACGTTAGATTTCCCAATCCCTGTCCCCACCCCAAGAGCCACATAAGAAACTTCTAGAATAAATGGACATCGGAACGCATCAGACAGACTCAGAGAATACTTCCCATTCGTGTCAGGCTCTGCCCCCAGCACATGCCCCTGTGTGGGGTCAGCGTCTCTCCTCATGCCGCCACCCCGCACAGGCCAGCGCTGATCCCACACGGGGGGACTCGCCTTGCCCGATGTCTGCTTTATGTCTGAACACGCTCGCTGCTACGTGGTTGGAAAGACAGTTTGACAGACCTCACTGTAGTAACCAGGAAGGCCTTCTCTTAAAGCGAAAGTCTTCGTACTTAAATGAGAGTTCTCAGAAATAAGCCGTTAGCCACTTTGAATCAAGAGTCACGTGTTAGGAGGGATACTCTAAAGGTGTGCCACGGAAAATGTCAGCTGCGGACAGAACCAAAGCACGACCCGGGTTCTCCACCGCACATTGACTTCTGACCGACCGACGCGCAGCTCTGGAAAGCCCTCGGCACCCAGCGATTTCTTTTCAGAGTAAAATCTGGAACGAGTCGCTCTCCCTCCTGCGGTAGGGAGCATTTCTAAGCTCTGGGGTGACTGTACTATTGGGTCGTCGGAAAAGCCATGTCACATTTTTCATAGAGGAATATCCTGACCTTTCTGAGTCAGTACAAGGGCAGGCTGCCTTCCCGAGGGCACAGCTGGCTGTAGAGTGGACAGTCTCGGGAAGGTCGAGACAGCACTGGCCTGCCACCCTAACCCAGACCCTCAGAACACTGCAGGGGGCACTTCTGTGCTCTTCGTAGGCTCTTGTACAAAGTCGGGGCTTTTCCCTACGGCTATGTGTTCTGTAAGAGACCAACCAGATTTTCCAAAAAAGATTTACTTAATTTATTAATAATAATTATCATTATTCTTTAGAGAATATTTTTGCTATAGGACGCATACGCTCACCAGAGAGAGACAGGGAGTGACAAATCATCCCCTAGTGGAGATGGCCACCTGCAATCCCTTCTCCTCCATTCTCCTGTTGGAATCTTGGGCACACACACACACGCGTGCACGCACACACACACGCACCTGGCAGGAGTCTTCAGCCACTGAGTCCAAGACCCGAACCATGGTCGACTACATGGGAGTCCAGCGACATAAAACATGCTATCTGATAGTCCCAATTATTATTAATTTTTTATTTGACCAGAAAGAGAGAGAGAGAAAGAAAGCTGCCAGGTCTGGGGCTCATACCGTGGTTGGCCATGTGGGAGTCTAGTGCCTCAACCACCACGCCACCTGCCAGCCCCAGAAATCAACCAAATTTTTAATCCCGTTAGAAAAAACTCAGCTGCATGTGGGGTCATATGGGTTAGGGAGATAACAGGCTGAGATACTAAGTGAGAATTCCAGTCACTTTAAATAAAATTTTCATGATATCTTCTGTGGGTAAGTAATAGCATCGCAGAAAAATTCTTTCTTTTTTTTTTTTGAGGATTTTTGCTATAGGGTGCATGTGTTCACTGAAGAGGCAGAAGCAAGAAATCACCCCCCGGGGGGGGATGGCCATACCTCAGTCTCTTCTCCTCCATTCTCCTCTCGGGCTTTTGGGCACGCACGCACATGGTGCTCGGTGTGAGTTTCAAGCCTCCAGTTCTGGGACTCGAACCACAGTCATCTATGTGTGAGTCTAGTGATATAACCATTACGCCATCTGCTGATCCCACAGAAAAATTCTTACCCACTCCAGGGAGTCTCCCAGGCTAGACCCCGCCACCTGCACCATTAGCTCCAACGTACCTACGTAGACGCACCCTCTCCTCTGTCCAGGTCACAGAGATCAGATGTGCTCAGGGAGTGAACAGCTACATTTTTTACTTTATTGTGGTGTTACACAACTTACTTTAGAAATAAGACCTGTTTGAAAGATAATTTTTATATCATACTATGAAGTGTTTCCTTAAATTTATCAATGATGTCATAAGCCAAGTACATATTTGAATGTTTTCTTCATTTCGGCAAGTTTGTCTTTTGAGTGGAGGTAGTTTAAGATCAGCAGTCTTCATTAAAGACAAGATTTTTGGGGACCGGCAGGTGGCATGGTGGTTAGGGGTGCTGGACTCCCACATGGTTGACCAAGGTTTGAGTCTGAGACCTGGCTTGCTTTCTCATTTTCCCTCTCTCTTGCTCTGTTCCTTTCTGGTATGTGTGTCTGTATGTATATATAAAGTTAAATAAAAGAATTTTTATAAAAAGACAGGATTTCTGGGTTTAATAAGCATTTCTAGGTAAATGAAATAAAGTCGAGATTTCAGAATAGCCGTGTGCCTCTGGCTTGGTAGTGCGTACTGACTGCCCCGACCCACCCTGCCCGTGAGCTCAGAGTTTTTCCTCGCCCTTTAGACTCAACATTATAAATGCACTGGCTGTGGGTGAGGGGAAGACAGAGGAAGGCCTGCACTTGCCTACGACGAGTAGGGAAATGCGTGGAGCTTTGATGTGGGGCTCGGCCTCGGGATAATGTGGTACTCACCTGCTGTCGCGGGTAGTCTTCATTAAAGACAAGATTTGTGGGGACCGGCAGGTGGCATGGTGGTTAGGGGTGCTGGACTCCCACATGGTTGACCAAGGTTTGAGTCTGAGACCTGGCTTGCTTTCTCATTTTCCCTCTCTCTTGCTCTGTTCCTTTCTGGTATGTGTGTCTGTATGTATATATAAAGTTAAATAAAAGAATTTTTATAAAAAGACAGGATTTCTGGGTTTAATAAGCATTTCTAGGTAAATGAAATAAAGTCGAGATTTCAGAATAGCCGTGTGCCTCTGGCTTGGTAGTGCGTACTGACTGCCCCGACCCACCCTGCCCGTGAGCTCAGAGTTTTTCCTCGCCCTTTAGACTCAACATTATAAATGCACTGGCTGTGGGTGAGGGGAAGACAGAGGAAGGCCTGCACTTGCCTACGACGAGTAGGGAAATGCGTGGAGCTTTGATGTGGGGCTCGGCCTCGGGATAATGTGGTACTCACCTGCTGTCGCGGGTCTGTCTGCAGCTCTTGCTTCTGGTGGCTCCCTTCCAATAACGTCACTGGATGCCACCGGGAACCTGGTATTTGCCAATGCGGGAGGAGCCCCCAACCTCGTGGCCGCCCCAGTGTTCCTGAACCCTCAGAGCCTCTCTCTGCTCACCAGCAACCCAGTCAGCCTGGTCTCTGCCGCCGCAGCCTCCGCAGGGAACTCTACGCCCGTGGCCAGCCTGCACGCCGCCTCCACGTCTGCCGAGTCCATCCCGAACTCTCTCTTCACAGTGGCCTCGGCCAGCGGGGCCGCTTCCACCACCACCACCGCCGCCTCCAGGGCCCAGTGAGCCGCAGAGCCGCGCCCCTGGCTGTCCTCGCCGCAGTGTGGTCGGCCGCCGCAGGGCGATGGCGCAGGGCAATGGCGGAGCAGCATGGGCATCCTCTTGCCCTGTGCTGCGGGCCAGGGGAGAAGACAGGAAGGAGGAGACGGACAACATTTGCCTAATTTTGTAATAAACACTGTCTTTTCAGGATTGCTTCATGGATTGGAGAACTTTCTAACCAAAAATTAAAATTAAAAAAAAAAAGCAGAAACAAAAAATCAAAAACAAAAAAATAATTGAAAGGACTACTTACCATTTCCAGCAGTCATGATGACAAGTTAAGGTGGGTCACCAATTCCAATATAGGAAGGGGGTTTCTTGTTTGTCTAAATTTCTTTTTTTCTTAAAAAAAAATCATTTTTATGGGCCTGTTGTACAGGCCGTTACGTCATGAGAAGGTGTTTATAATCGTATCAATTGTGTTGGGGTTCCTTTCTTAACTGGTACAACTTAGGCAGGCCTGTATACTGTACTCTGTCGTCGTCGCTGTTTTTATATATATAGTTGGGACATGTTTATCTCGCTCCTGGATCCTATTTCAGCGAGCTCCCACACTGTGGGGAGGGAGGGTTTCGGGGTAAGGGAAGACGGATGTTCTTAACTGCGGGGAATGTTCTTGCTGGTTTCCTTATCCTTGATGACTCTTACAGAGGTGCTAGAAAATTATTTTCTTTTGCCACTTATGCAAGAGGCTTGGTGCAGAAGCTGAAGGCCGTGTGTGCAAACACTCCACTCCGCACACGCCCTCCCCGTCAGGTGGTGCCTTTGGAGCACTTTGTGTAGGAAGGAATTCCTGAAAAAACTGTGGCTCTCCCTCGCCCGCCCGCCGCCCCGATCATCCAGCGGCCCGAGGCCCAGGTCCTGTGGAGCGGTGTGCTGCTCCCTGCTCCTGGGGGCAGCCGTCCACGCTGCAGGGCATGGTTTGGTCCGCAGAGCAAAGACTACTGCAGACACCCGCCTGGGTGGTTCTCCCGACCCCTTATCTCCTGAAAAACGCTCCTACTGTCGGTGTGTGTGCGTGTGAGTGTGTGCGTGTGCGTGCGTGTTTCCATTTTGTGGAAGTTTTCCATCTAAACTTCCTTTCATTTACTTGGCTAAGAACAAATAGACTTAACAAAATTGGGAGACTTTTCCTTAGTGGCTGAAGGAATTCTAGAGTTTTCCATCGGTTATTCATCCAAAAGAAATGTGAGGAGAATGGTCTGAGGCTGCCGCCTTTTCCTCTCGAGAGCCGCAGCTTCCTTGCCCTGATGGCTGTGAGCCTCTCTGCCCGAGGTGCTCCCGCCTTCGAGGGGGCTGTGAGCAGGGGCTTTGCACAGCCCTGGAGGGCTCCCCGCTGGTTCCTGTGCTCCAGTAGGCAGGGCCCAGTGGGAAGCGGCTAGCTCCTGTCATGGTTTCAGGGTGTCTCTAGACGATGTGACCAATTCCGTGGAAAAGGAAGAGCTTGTGGAAGTGGACGCGGAGGTGAGGGTCACATGGAGGTGAGGGCCCCGTGCGTCGGTGTGCTGTTACAGCCGCACCGCACTTCCCGAGAGACCAGCTGGGTGGCCGAGCTCCAGGTTCCCGACCTCTGTGGGTGGCGGTCCCAAGACGGCTTGCCCCTTCCGGGGTTGGAGCAAGCCCAGGCCCCGCTGCCCGGTGGCGTCTCCTCCCCCGTCAGGAGGCGTAGCGGCCGCGGTGTGCTTTGGTGCGGGATGCGAGTGGACAGGGCATGTCACTATGGAAAGTTGGAAACTTGTCAGCCCCCTTCTCCTCGCTTCGGCTCCTCCCCGTTTTATTTCCGAGTGTGTCATCCCCACCCTTCTTCCCCTTCGAGTCCTCCGAAGTCGGCGAGCGAGCTGTAAGCAGGGAACTAACACGTTCATCCGCCTTATTTGTGTGCTGTGGTTTTTTTATGTTTTTATTTTTTAACTAAGCTTGAACCAAAGTCAATTTTTAGCAAGCTGCTGTACTAATGGACTAGTTTATAACGTGCAGTTCAGACACATTGAGGAGATAGATGCTACTGACAATTTCTTTTTCATTTGTCTTTATTAATTTTATATAAAAGTTGCTGCTTGTTTTTGATCTTGTATGTGGGTAAGTTGTACTATCCTCTGGGCAGGCGTCCACTTGATCTAACTGGTTTGTTTGGGCTGGTGTGTCTCGCTCGGCAGTGGCGGCCACTCCCCGCCTCCGTTGCCTCTGCTCTGTGCAGGCAGGTCTGATCTTCCGCCCTGATGTGCCACCTCTCACTGTGGCTGTGCGATGATTCAGGGCTATCCGCCAGGGGAGGCTGGCGCTGCTCCCGG